CTCTTTTATTTTCTTTCTAGTTTTATTTGCTTCAATTTATTTTCTATTTTTGTTGTGATTTTGGCAATGCCCACACCGCCTTTTATAGGAAACCAAATGTCACTTCCAAATATTACAATTGTTGATTAGGGTGCAATGATTGATCATCAACTGGTGCAATGGTTAGTCACTGCATAATGTAACCATACACTCAACAATTTCAATGGTTAGTAACTGAAATGGTTACAAATATTCATTTTACCAGCTGCAACAGTTCTTCAATATGTGTCCGTTAGGCAGATATAATAAATCTAATATTTACCGTTAAATCTGGAAATAAAGATTATTAATCATTAGAATGATTTTTTTTTAGCAACCAAAATAAAAAATCACAATGGTTCGTAAAGTTGCAATGTTTTAAGTATAAAGTTGCAATATTTTAACTATGTGCCTGTTTGGTAAACAAAAAAAATGCAATCTTCACTGTTTAATCTGTATAAAAAAATATTAACCGTTAGATTACATCTACATTTTTTAACATTTAGAAGACGAATGTTTTAAGAAGTTCTATATTTAATAATAATTTTTGTTCAAAATGAAAAGTTAGTTTAAAGTGAAAAATTACGATGATAAACTTGATAGTTACTTGAAACTGAATGATGAAATGTAAATTTGGATGATGATGAAATCTTGCACAATGACACTTTCCTTAAAGAGTATTTCGACCCTTATCAAGCTTTGGGTTAGACAAAAACTCTTGTAGGATAAAACACAGTTCTGATGGTGATATGTGTTTTTCCAAAAAAAATGTTTATGATATTTTGGAATAGTGAAACTCTCTCTTACTTTCTTTTTAATTTTCTTTGCTTCAATTTGTTTTCTATTTTTGTTGTGATTTTGGCAATGCTCACAACTCCTTTTATCGGAACCCAATATCACTTCCAAAGATTACAATGGTTGATTAGGATGCAATGATTGATGATCAACTGGTGCAATGGTTAGTCAATGAATAACGTAATCATACACCAAACAATTGCAATGGTTGCAAATATTCATTTTACCAGTTGCAACAGTTCTTCAATATGCGTACGTTAGGCAGACATAATAAATCTAATTTTTACCGTTAAATCTGGATACAAAGATTAATAACCATTAAATTGATTTTTTTTTCTAGCAACCAAAACTGAAAAAATCACAATGATTCGTAAAGTTACAATGTTTTAAGTATAAAATTGCAATGTGTTAACTATGTGTCTGTTTGGTAAACAAAACAAATGTAATCTTCACCGTTCAATCTGTATAAAAGAATAATAACTGTTAAATTACATCTATATTTTTTTAACATTTAGAAGATGATGTCAGCAGTCAAATCCTAACCATTAATTTTTCAAATCAAAACAACGTCAACCGTTATATTTATCATTTTTTTTTCTACAAAAAATGATGACATCAGCAATTCAAAAAAGTTATTTTGCTATTATATAATATAGATTGTCAAACACCTAAATAAATAAGCTTTTTTTGTTCTTTCTTAATCTTTGCTGTCTACCAACGAATTAAAATTTATTTTCTTTTGACCATACTGTTTTTTTTCAGGTTTCATATCTTGATTTAGACTATAAGATTCAAAGCTCTTTAATCTTTATCCTTCTGTTTTTCAGTTTTAAGAAAAAAAAACAAACTCACACAATATTCAGAAATCCTCCAGCAAAGGTCCAACAAAACAAAAGTTGACCTTCAAGTTCCTTATAAATTCATCACCAAACACATTTTATAATCCATCAAACACACAAGAAACAACAAAGATAAAAAAAAAACAATGTCGACTTCTAAAACCCTAACCTTCACTCTCTTCTTCATCGCAACACTACTCGCGTCCTGCAACGCAGCCGCAAACAACACAACGCAACCGCTCTTCCCAGCGATTCTAATCTTCGGCGATTCAACCGTGGACACAGGGAACAATAATTACCCATTAAACATAATCCTCAAAGCTACACATATTCCTTACGGCATTGATCTCCCAGACCACAAAGCTACCGGAAGATTCTCAAACGGAAAACTAATCCCCGACATACTCGCGGCCAAATTCAACATCAAACAGTTTGTCCCTCCTTTCTTACAACCTAATCTCTCCGACCAAGAGATTGTGACCGGAGTCTGTTTTGCATCAGCCGGTGCGGGTTACGATGAGCGAAGCAGTCTCTCGTCACAAGCGATTCCTGTCTCGTATCAACCTACAATGTTCAGGAGTTACATCGCTCGCCTTAAGAGTATCGTAGGAGACAAGAAAGCTATGGAGATTATAAACAATGCTTTGGTGGTTGTAAGTGCAGGGACTAACGATTTCATCTTGAATTTTTACACCATTCCTACAAGGCGTCTTGAGTACCCTTTCATCTCTGCTTACCAAGAGTTTATACTTAAGAGGCTTGACAACTTCCTCCGGGTAATGTTTCAAACATGTTCTCAGATTATCTCTAATCAAAACCAAAATAGTATTGTCAGATTTCGGGGTTGTTGACTGACATGTCTTTTCCGGTGTGAGTGCAGGAGCTATACAGTTTAGGTTGCCGGAACATTCTTGTCGCCGGTTTACCGCCGATTGGTTGTTTACCGATCCAAATGACAGCTAAATTCCGCAATATCCTAAGGTTTTGTTTGGAACAAGAGAACAGAGACTCTATTACATACAATCAGATTCTTCAGAAGCAGTTAGCTCAGACCGAAGCCTCTCTTACTGGAATCAAGATCCTTTACGCCGATATCTATGATCCTGTAATGGACATGATGCAGAAACCTAGCAAATACGGTATATATATATACTATATAGTAGACACAGTCTCTTTCTTGTCCCACAAGTTATCCTATGAGATGAAATTTTAAAACTGATTATACGATCTTGAAAAAAAACAGGGTTTAAAGAAACGAAGAGAGGATGTTGTGGAACAGGCTTATTGGAGGCGGGCTTCATGTGTAATGCTTTCTCTCCGTCGTGTGGGAATCGCTCGGAATATTTGTTCTTTGACTCGATTCATCCATCAGAAGCTACTTATAATTACGTCGGTGATTTGCTTGAAGAGGATATCCGTAACTGGATTGCGGCTTAAGTTAAACACGATTTACGAAAATGTCACAATGTTTTTTGTTTCTTTATACGAATATATATTAATGTACTTTTGTATGTTAATCAATATAACTTTGCCTCCTAGTGAAGGCTTTAAATTTTAACCAAAGAAAATAAACATGGTTGTGGATTTCATTTTAAATCCGTCAATATTTTATCTACTCAACATTCAACAAGAGAAAAAAGCGTACCAAAATAATTGTGTAGTTTTGACCTTCACAATACTATGTAGTCTAGGCATGATAAATAGTATTTTCTTAGAATTGAAAAGAAATGAAAAGTTGTCCTTGTCACATGAGTACACACAACCTCGTCATCTTCATCCTCCTCTTGCTTAGTTTGTTTCTGGTTCTAGAGTCTTTATCATAACCCAATCCATGTTCGCCAACTTCATCGATTATACCTTCCTCCGGCGAGTGTTCTACCAATCTTATCCTTATGTGAAGAATATGTATATAAAAAGCAACATAACGTTCGTGAAAGTAGTATGTATTTTTTCTTCTTTTTGGTCAGAATGTTTATTCACGAAAGTAGCATGCTATTCACTAAAGCAACATCTTATGTTTATGTTTGCGAAGCTAAATAAATACTATCCGCTCAGCAAAATCCCAACGGGGTCTTGATCATACTGTGGAGTATACTTAACTAGTTTGAGTCAGTCAGCTAGAAGATTTCAGACCAATCTCCCTTTGCAACGTCGTGTATAAAGTTTTCTCCAAAGTCTTTCCAAAACACCTTCAGCTTCTCTTCCCAAACATGATCTCCAACTCACAATTCGCCTTTGTCAAAGGTAGATTTCTTGTCGGAAATCTCCTGCTGGCAACTGAACTTATTCATGATTCAAATTGTGAAAATATTTTAAAAAGAGGTCTTTTTAAAGTTGATATTTTTATAGAAAAAAAATCAGTATATAAATAATTAGACTTTATCTGAATAATTTTCAAACCCAAACAAAAATATATGTACCTCCAATTATTGGTAAAAAAAATCATTTTTTTTTAACTAAAATTATTAACTCATCTAATTTTTTTAACTAAAATTATAAAATTGTCTCCAAAATCTTTGCAAAACACCTTTAGCTTCTCTTCCCAAACATGATCTCCAACTCACAATTCGCCTTTGTCAAAGGTAAATATCTTGTGGAAAATCTCCGTAACTGGATTGCGGCTTAAGCCAACACGATTTACGAAATGTTATTTGTTTCTTTATACGAATATTAATGTACTTTTGTATGTTAATCAATATAACTTTGCCTCCTAGTGAAGGCTTTAAATTTTAACCAAGAAAATAAACATGGTTACGAAATTTCTTTCAAGAAGAAAAGTAAACACACTTTCTTGTTAGCTCTAAGAAAAATTTATTGAATGAAACACAAAGATTATTACAAGAACCGGCAGAAAAATGGATACATTAGGAGTGACAAGCCTTTCTAACGCTTTAGAGAAAGAATCTAGAACTAAACTGTACTTAGTTATGTAATACCGCTTGGAACAATGTACTTTGACAGTTTATATTAATGGCAAGGTTAAATAAAATAAAATAAACAAAAAGAAAGATATGTAACGTGAGGAAAAGGAAAGATCAGAGAGAATTACATATTAGCTACCTTTAAAATCGATCAAAACAGTGGAAACTAAGCTGTAGAAAATTGATTCTCACAGCCAATATATTTTTCCTTTTTAAAAATGTTGACTGTATCAGCTACAGATTGATTGATTCATTCACATTTATAATACTGTAAAATGGAAACAAAAAATGTCTGTCTACAGCCTCTACAGATCCTTTACTCTACACATATATATATATATATATATATATATATATATATATATATATATTCAAATCCACTAAACCATGGATAAAACTAAAATCAAAAAACAAAAATCAAAAGAAAATGTCAGTTCCTAAAACCATAACCTTCATGAGTGTCTTTGTTGCAACAACAACACTACTCGCGTCTTGTAACGCAGCCGCAAACAACACAGAGCCACCGCTCTTCCCAGCGATTTTAGTCTTCGGCGATTCAACCGTTGACACAGGCAACAACAATTACCCCTCAAGCACAATCTTCAGGGCTACAAATTTTCCTTACGGCATTGATCTCCCAGACCACAAAGCTACCGGAAGATTCTCAAACGGAAAACTAATCCCCGACATGCTCGCTGCCAAATTTAACATCAAACAGTTTATTCCTCCTTTCTTACAACCAAACCTCTCCGACCAAGAGATTGTAACCGGAGTCTGTTTTGCATCAGCCGGTGCGGGTTACGATGACAGAACCAGTCTCGCGTCTAGGGCGGTTCGTGTCTCGGAACAACCTAAGATGTTCAAGAGTTACATTGCTCGTCTCAAAGGTATCGTAGGAGACAAGAAAGCCATGGAGATCGTAAATAATGCTTTGGTGATTGTGAGTGCAGGGCCTAACGATTTCATCTTTAATTATTACGATATTCCTTCAAGACGTCTTGAGTATCCCCACATTTCTGATTACCAAGACTTCATACTTACGAGGCTTGACAGTTTCGTCCGGGTAATGATTCAGACATATTTTCACATTATTCACGGATATGCCTCGGGTTTTAGGGTTTTTGACATCTCTTAGTGTGTGTTTGCAGGAGCTTTACAGTTTAGGTTGCCGGAATATTATGGTTGGAGGTTTACCGCCGATGGGTTGTTTACCGATACAAATGACTGCTAAGGTCGGTGACATCCTAAGGTTATGCTTGGAACAAGATAATAGAGACTCTGTTTTATACAATCAGAAACTTCAGAAGCTGTTACCTCAGATCGAAGCATCTCTTACAGGAAGCAAGATCCTTTACTCCAATGTCTATGACCCTACAATCGACATGATTCAGAACCCTAGCAAATACGGTACATCTTTAGTCTCTTTCTTGTTCCCCAAGCTATCCTATGAAATATATAGTTTTGACTTTTGAGCACTGATAATATATGATCACTTGTGTGAAAAATTGAAAACAGGGTTTAAAGAGACGAATAGAGGATGTTGTGGAACAGGGTATTTCGAGACGAGCTTCGTCTGTAATGCTTTATCTTCGTTGTGTGGGAATCACTCGGAGTTTTTGTTCTTCGACTCGATTCATCCATCAGAAGCTACTTATAACTACATCGCTAATTTGGCCGATAAGCATATCCGTGAGTCGCTTGCTGCCTAAGTCAACACAGTTCGCAAAACTGTAACAACTACGTTATTTGTTTCTAAATGCGAAATACGAATGTACTTCTGGTTTGTTTATCAGAAATACCTTTACATTCTTGTTTTATATCAACTCCAAAGTACTGCTAATGATTCTAAAAGTAGAAACTTGGCACTTGAGTCTATGAATCTTTTTCGTAAGATTATGATGCTAATGCGTTTTCTGATTCTTGATAGTTGATACAAATCATCTACTTAATCTAAACAAAAAACCTACAGAAACTCTAAACCACAAACATATATAATCTCTCCTGTTTCTCGAATCCGGTCATACACCATACCTCTTCAACGCTTTGCTTAAACTTGGCATTACATTGTAGGCATGGTAAGATCTTCTGAGTTCAATAATGGAACCAACCTGTCACCAATCAACAGAGATATCAACAAAAAAGAAATCGTTTTTAAAAAAAAATATTAAATGCAGAAAGAACACTTACGATGATTAAAACCGATGTAAAACCAATAGAAAAGCCTTGATTGATGCTGCGTAGATAGTGGTCAAGTACACTAGAAGATGTTGCCAAAAAGCTCAACAGAAGACCTCCTGAAATCAAACCAAGCCAAGAAAATGGTTTTTAGAGATTATACCATAACTACATACGCCATAGAAAGTCTAGAAAGTAACAACAACAACATAGCTTACCCCAAAATCTAGTTGATGCTTGTATCTTCGTTAGGTACTCGATCGTGGCTTTCCCTGGCTTTATGTTTGGTATCCTTGCGCCCATTTTGTTTAAATAATCAGCTATTTCCTTTGGCAAGTTGGCCTACATTACAAAAACAAGTAAACCAGTATATATGAAAATGTTTAATGTTCATGGAAGATTGAAATTAAGATTGAGAAAACAAAAGCATAATTAACAAACACTCACAATGTCAAAGATGTTGAAGAGAAAGACGAAAAACGCATAGACTGAGTAGTAAACCCAAGGCGGTGCACCAACCGTGCTTTCAGGGTTTAATATCTCCTTGACGTGTAGCAAGAAAGGTGAACCCAGGATACTAGAAACAATACATTACTTTATCAGACAGCCTTAAGAGGGTAAGAACAACACGAAAAAAGCAAGAAACAAAACCTAACGGGTTCTTGGAGGGATTTACCTTGCAAGAATGCTGGGGAATGCCAAGAGATATGTGGTTGTGAGAACAGGCTGCATTCCTGCTGGGTTAATGTTAAAAGGTATGTATGGCTCAACCTCTGTTACTGGAGAACCTTCTCTGCCCAAATGGCAAAACATAGCATAAAAAAGAACAAAAGTGAGTAAAGTTGCAAACGTACAACAGTCTTTTCTACACAATACTGATGATGAGCTATATATATTACCTCGACGCAGAAGCGAGTTTAAAACCATAGTATTGCAGTTTTATCTTCCTGCAGCCCTCAGTAACAACAACAGCGAACATAGTTACTACTGTAAAAATGCCCAGCAAGCCTAACAGGTAAGGCCACCAAGTCGAGAAACTTCCTGAAAACACAAAAAAAAAAAAGAATGACTCCTCCTTTCTACAAATAAGCTTAAAGAAGAGGAGAATGATAGTTGCTTCTGGAAATGTGGAGAAGACATGGAAAGTCTAAAGTAAAGACTAAACCATAAGTTCGAGATATATGGAGTAAGAAAAACCAAAGGTACCTGAGATTTGATCGAGCATCTTGTGTAAAGTCTCTGTGTATCCCGTCAATATTCCCACACAAATAATTAGAGAAGATCCATGACCTGTAAAATGCACAGAAACAGGTTATGAGCAAGTTCCACCTATTACTCCATTTCAACGCATCACCATAGGCTACAAATATATGGTTACGATCAAGCCATTTAATCTAGACAGTTGCATAGAGAAAGAATCAAAAATACCAAATCCAGACTCTGATATCGTATCACACAGCCACGTCATTGTCATTGCACCACAGACTAGCAGAGATGCTGTCACCATTACATGCTTGACCCTGATATAAGCACTTAAGCATCAGCTGTGGCAAAATGGATGATAGAATTTAAAAAGCAACGTTTTTTGTTTACTCAGAACGAATCATCCTTATTGACTTACTGGGAAGTGGCTGCAAAAACTGAGTATTGAAGAGAAGTGCAAGCCACCACTATCGCTTCCACTATAGCAAACAGAAACGATAGCCACCATCTACAAATTAGATGGACAAAATGAAAAAGATTAGTAACTTTGTTTAATGAAGCACAAAAGTCACAAGAGCTATAATTGCATGTGAAGAATTTATCTCACGGCTTGAGAGGGAAAAAAATCTAAACACACATATAACTCTTGATCTTCTCGTGACCATCTAAGCCTTCCTTTCTCAGCTTCACCAAAGATGGAAGAACGTGACAAAGAACCTGGCACAACACATTTCATGATCACTTGATATATCATCAAATAATATATAAAGAACCCACAAATTCAGGCAAACACATCAAGTCAAGGGGAGATCTTAACCTGCATAATTATGGATGCTATGATCTGTGGACTGAGCCCAAGCTGGAAGAGTGAAAGCTTGATCTCTGCTCCGAACTCACCCAGTTCCTCTATCAAAAAGATAGACGTTAGCTACAAACTTCGATGTTTCATCCGAACAAGGGATTATAGGACGCAAATGGCATGAGAACACTCACCAACAGAACCCGAGACAAAGCTTAGGTAATCTTGAGGTATCAATCTTCTGTCGAATCCAGGTAAAGGTATGAAATATCCAACACGGCTAAGCACAAGCAATACAGCCGTTACAAACAACCTCCTCCTTATCTCGCTCTTGAAGAATCTTTCCGCTGCGCTGTTGAGCACTGAACTTATGCGAACGAAATCAAGAAACCTATTTCTAAAAGACTTTGGCCTACTGCCCTGTAGTGCTTTGGAGACAACAGAGTTCTGAGGAATTTCAATGTCCTGTGACTCTGGAGGAATAATCTCGACATCCAAAGCATCTGTATGCATCTCCTCGCTGCTCATCGAGTCATCTCTGTGCTTATCGGAATAATTGATCGAAAACTTCTTCCTTTCTTTTATAAGGTGATTTCTTCTGTTCATCTGTATAAAATGGCATTCTCTCGTTCTTGACAAACTCAAATTCACAGGAAGGCATTTTCTGGATCGACATGGTTGGTAACACAGAAATGGGTCCCCTGCAAAAACATCACCAAGGTAAAACACATGCCTCAACAACTGTTTCTGTTTATGAGAAATGAAAGTTCGATAAATTGAGAAAAACTGCAGGATTTAGAGAACTAATCCAAGAGATGTTTATCAGCTGAAAAGTTAAGAGCTTTATAGCAACAGTGAGAAACCCATGTCGGTTAGTGTCAGTGCTCTCGCAATTAGGGTTTCATCAACTTGAAAGCAGTGAAACTTTAACGATTGTATCCTGACTCGTTGAGGTAACACAACTACTGCAATACTTCAATTTCTTTGCTTCGAATCGGATTCAAACACTTAATTCTGAGGGAGAAAACTTACGTTTAGAGAGGAAACCGTAGGAGGATTGCGAGAAAGAGATTGGTCTAAGAGGAGAATGGAAGAAGCAAGCTTGAGAGGAATTCATCTAAAGGATGAGAGACAACGCGGCGCAGAGCCAATGAAGAAGATGAACATTAGAGTGTTACTGTGTCTCCAAAAAAACAGTTTTTTCTTCTAATTCTCATCTTTTATAATTAGGCCCAAATAATGTGTTGAATATTTTTATTAAAAACCCAAAAATAATAATGATTATAAATCGTTTTTTTCTAAAAATTATTGCACTCATGTTGACATAATGTCAGTATGTCACCATCCCAGTTTTAAAATCAAGTAACGTAATGTTCTTAATAATTAATACTTTGATATAAAATTCTAATGTTAAAAAGTGAATTATTCATCTTTATGTAAATTTCTTAAATAAAGAAAATTGATTACTTTGTCCCAATGGTAAAAAAAAAAAAAATCTATATTTTCCTTTGACTCTAAAATCATTTCAGTTTTGGTAAGAGAAATGTTAGATTTTGGTTTTGCCTTTATGAAAAGAAAGGAGGAAGTGATATGAGTCTACACTCTATTCCAGTAATCGCAAACCCAACCGATCCAGTCTTGTAGATTCCCTCCTCGATTTGACCGCAAAGTTTGGATTCTTTTCATTTCATCCCCAAAGTAAATTTCACATCGAAGGCTCTCCATTTTGCTTTCCCCTTAAGTTTTTTCTGCTACGATTGTCTCTCTCCGACAACAAACCCTAATTTGCAGGAAGAGGGGTTTCATCTAATTCCTCTAAATCTCGGTTTTTTTTATCCATTTGGGTTCTCGCTGATCATGGATTCCGATGAAGACATGCTCGATGCGCACGATGTGGAGTCAGGGGAGGATGATTTCTACAGCGGCGGAACCGACGATTACAACGATAGTGATGATGGGGAACCTGATTACGGGTTTGTTGAGGAAGACGCTGACGATTCTGCCATGATCGCCTCGCATCGCTCTCAGGTGAGACTTTGTTTTGATTTTGGTTCTACTTGGTCTCTTGAAGCTATTGCTTCTAGAAATTGTGCATGTTTTCATGAAAATGTTGAAAATTTCGGGCTTTGTATGATAAAGTTTCAGTTTTTACTTGGGGGTTTAGTCTAATTGAGTTAATAAAGTTTGTAGTAGTAACATTTCGTCGATTACTTTACTCTGTAAGTGAGGAACTGTGGCTGTTCAATTATGAGTTTTTTATTTCCGTTTTGAGATTGTTTTTGTTTATTTATATATCATTTGCTTCTTTGATAATGAGGGAGTGTTTAGCTCATTAAAGGATGTTTGCTAATGATATACTTATAACTTTACATTTGCTTACATTTAGCTTGGGTTTATTTGAAAAAGTCTGGAAATTTACAGGAAGTTTTGCGATTTAGTACATTTCTTAAGAGTTTTCTTTTTCTGTTTGCCCTACTTCCAAACTTGTAGAAGATAATCTTAAATCATGTTCTTTAAGCACTTGTTCTGTGC